GTGAGACCTTCGGAGAGAGAGAGTTCACCGTGAGAGGCCTCTGGTTTGGGTCTCGCAGAACTATTCCAAAAGGAACAAGGAGCTTCCTCTAGGAACTAGGTGTCGACATTAAGGACATAGCGAGTTTGGCTGAAAATATAGTCCTTGACTCCCTGGGAATCATTCACCACCACGTGCATGGCTAGCCCGAGAGTTTTAATTTATGTATTTATTTAATTAATGATTGAAAACAATAGAGAGAAGTGAGAGAAAGGGAAACTAAATGTTAAAAAAAATAAAATAAAGCATGAACAATGAAAGGAAGGAAAAAGGGGGAAAAAAATGTATATGTATATATATATATATATATATATATATATATATATATATATATATATATATATATATATATATATACATCCCCCCCCCCTTTTTCCTTCCTTTTATTGTTCATGCTTTATTTTATTTTATTACAGCATACTGTTCTATCCTTACGACAATAAATGAACTTATATATAAATATACAGAAGTATTAGTTAATATTAGTAAAATAGATATATATATATATATATTTTACTAATATTAACTAATACTTCTGTATATTTATATATAAGTTCATTTATTGTCGTAAGGATAGAACAGTATGCTGTAATAAAATAAAATAAAGCATGAACAATAAAAGGAAGGAAAAAGGGGGGGGGGATGTATATATATATATATATATATATATATATATATATATATATATATATATATATATATATATATATACATATACATTTTTTTCCCCCTTTTTCCTTCCTTTCATTGTTCATGCTTTATTTTATTTTTTTTAACATTTAGTTTCCCTTTCTCTCACTTCTCTCTATTGTTTTCAATCATTAATTAAATAAATACATAAATTAAAACTCTCGGGCTAGCCATGCACGTGGTGGTGAATGATTCCCAGGGAGTCAAGGACTATATTTTCAGCCAAACTCGCTATGTCCTTAATGTCGACACCTAGTTCCTAGAGGAAGCTCCTTGTTCCTTTTGGAATAGTTCTGCGAGACCCAAACCAGAGGCCTCTCACGGTGAACTCTCTCTCTCCGAAGGTCTCACGGAATTTCTTTTTTAGGAAAGGGATACATTTATCGTATGTGTTCTTCTTTTCCCTTTCCACTTCACCCGCCTGATCGAGATCATTGCTCTCAAAGCGGACAGTTGGATCCAAGATCAGCGCTGTCCTTCCTGTCTTGGGAAATGCGACGATATCCGCATATCTCGTAGAGAGATAAAATAAAATATGAAATTTTAATGGTGAATGCATTATTCTCTCTGCACAAAGAAAGATGGAAAGGGCGAAGCTGTAAGTTTTTCAAGGCAACTGGAACTGATAGTATTTGATCTCAAAATGAGGGAAAACGCGAAATTGAATCCAAACATTGGAAAAATACACTAAGCGAACAACAAAGGAAGTACCAAAATCTCGGAAAAGAAAACAAGGATCAGTATCCATTATATAGCTGAACGAATATATAGTAGACAGATGAACAGAATATTTCAAGATGCTGCTAAAAGTGAGTCAAATGCTGGGGCAGTTTGGATGATGTTAAGGGGACGGTGCAGATGTATTATGGTGAGCCCTATTTTATCAACAGGAAAGATTTGTTCGAAACAATTGGCACGTCAGCAGGTCTGGAGTAAGTAAACTAGGTTTTTTTTTATGGTGAAAACCACTTTATTTTCGATTGCTACTGAAGTTGCACATAGGGACTATCTTCACTTTGAAGCAGATTATAGAGAGGTCTACCGAGAAAGGAAAATAGCTCTCCTTCTGTTTGATGCATTTGCCTAAGATTTTTTAAGGAATCTGAAAGGAAAACGAGCTTTTCTGAAAGACTAGCAGATATTCCAAAGTGTGAGGAACTGAGCAAGTGATAGAGAGTTATTTTTCTTTCTCGATAGACTTCTCTATAACCTGGCTTAAAGTGAACACAGTCCGAATGTGCAACTTATTTCCCAATGTGTAACTTGAGTCTCTCAATCCATATCGCTCTGGTAATCGACAATATTTCTTATTCTAGCTTCTACAATTCTTGAGTAGAGTTTCTTTGGTACATTAAACAGGAATGAATCTCAATGGGTATTTATGTATTACATTTTCTAGTATCTCCTTTCTTATAAAGGGACAAAACTACAGTCCTTCCATATCATTTTCTAATACATTTGTAGCCTTTGCAAGCACAGCATTCCGGGTTACTTACTCCAGACCTGCTGACTTGCCAATTGTTTCAAACAAATCTTTTCTGTTGATAAAATAGGACTCACCAAAATACATCTGCATCGTCCCCTTAAGATCAATTGATAAAAATTAATAAATAATAGAAAAAAAAAATCATGCCTTGACAAGGAGCCACCAATCATCACTCCAAGTACTCTTATTTTTCTAGATCGGGTTATCACACTATCCATGATTGTCAACAGGGGCAACAAAACATTCTATCTTCATTAACCAGCTGCATAGTCTCTGGAATTTCTCTGGCAATGAAGAAGAGGAGCCCAAATAACTATATCATCGAGAGTTTTAATTTATGTATTTATTTAATTAATGATTGAAAACAATAGAGAGAAGTGAGAGAAAGGGAAACTAAATGTTAAAAAAAATAAAATAAAGCATGAACAATGAAAGGAAGGAAAAAGGGGGAAAAAAATGTATATGTATATATATATATATATATATATATATATATATATATATATATATATATATATATATATACATCCCCCCCCCCTTTTTCCTTCCTTTTATTGTTCATGCTTTATTTTATTTTATTACAGCATACTGTTCTATCCTTACGACAATAAATGAACTTATATATAAATATACAGAAGTATTAGTTAATATTAGTAAAATAGATATATATATATATATATTTTACTAATATTAACTAATACTTCTGTATATTTATATATAAGTTCATTTATTGTCCTAAGGATAGAAGAGTATGCTGTGTATATAGCATCCCAATATAATTGGGCAGCAATCTTTTATATTTTATTAAAATAAAGTGTTTCTCTCTCTGGTCCAACTTCCGAACAAAATAAAGGAAATAGAAATGATTTTTTTCAATAGTGATATATGAATTTTACTAAACAACCCTTCAACTATTCATTATACGTAGTTCAGATTAGGTATATATTATTTTAGTTCATAAAACAGGTATTGATATGACTCATACTACAGAGAAGTATATACCATTTAAATTACCTCTAAGATTCGGTAAATATATAAAACAAATTGTTAAATTGCAAACGTTAAATAAAAAATTCAAGGTATTCAGCAAATTATTTTTTAATTAAGTTTTATTATTATAATTATATAATTTTCATGATAGAGGCCTTCTTAAATGACCTACGTACAGAATGAAGGAAGTTAAATTAAAAAAAAAAAAAAATAGTAAATTTAAAAAAAATAATTAAAATTTTTTTTTTACAATTAAATTATTGTATTAATATTTGTTCGTTAATAGAATCAATATAATGTACCAAAAACGTTATTATATCACTATAACTAAGCCATTTATGAGTACTGAATGATGTGGTAGAGGCCTGAAGGCACCTACGCCAGTACCGCTTTTCTGCCGTTTAAGTGCGTTTTCTACGGAACTGTTTCAAATATTTTAAAAAGTAATCAGTGTTTTAGAAAGAAGAATATATTCTCCATCTGTTTTATTTCAGTACGTTTTGTGTTATTGTTGGCGGTTTAATCACAAACGAAGCTTGATTTTCAATTTGAAAATTTTTTGGTTAAAAAAGTTGACTTTACTGGTGTTTTTTATTACCTAAGCCAATTAGTTTTTAATATTTTTCATGTTTTATAATTCTCTGACTATTCAGCTTTAATAAAACACCAACTATGACGAAATTAAGCCAAATGCTGATTCTCAGTAACCAAAAAACTAACTAAAGTCAAAGTCGTCAATCCGCCATGTTTGGACGCCATTTTGGGGAACTTTGTTCACTTTTTTTTGGGAACATTGGCTTTTTTTTTAATAGATAGTTACAAGGAACACAATGATATGCAATTTATAGGGATGTGGGGGGGAGGTGCACGATAGGGGGGTCTGGCCCACCGTGTAATACCCTTTCCAGGTGGAATCGATTTTTGTCCTATGAGGTTAATAAGATAATAGAGTCCGCGCTAATTCTTCCCCTGATGTGGTATTGTGACTCGGTGAACATTGACATATCGGAATCAGAAGATGCCAGGTTTTTAAGTAAGTTTAATTCAGGTGATTGTTTTGTAAAAATGAACACATTTTTATCTCTTCAACAAATAACTAAATAATGATCGATCTCATTTGACCTGTTGAGCTATTTACTACACATTGATGAAGTTTATCTGGGATTTATGATGATTGTTTCCAGTAAAAAATATGTTTTTTTTAATTACCAAAATTTAAGGTTTTGTGTTTCAACATAATTAGAATAAAAAAATCTTGTGCTGTCCGTTCTTTTTCATGATTTTTTTTTCTGAGAGGACAGGGTTTTTTTTGTTTTTTTTTAGATTAGTCACAAGTCAATCCTGGATGATCATTCCATGTTGTGGCCACTTATGAAGACAAGGAACAATTTTTGTGTTTGAAAATCTGTACCAAAGCATTAAAAAATACCTCTTTTTATGCTTGGCAGGCACTTGTAATGATCCAAAACCACTTGTTTATTGTTTGTTAAGGTAATTTTTTTTGGAACGATTTGTGGAGTTTTTTATTTTAACTTAATAATTATTTATTTGATTTTCATTTATCTATAAAGTTAATTTGACAGGTTATATTTTAGGGCTATTTCAATTATTTCTGAATTTTCACTATTTGCTGGTTATACGTATTCAAAATGCTTTGTAGAATCAATATTCCCTAATGTAGTATTTTTTTAGTTCTTTATTTCATTTTATTATCATGATGATTATTGTATTATGTTCATAGACATTTTGTCATTTTTTTTTTTATTAGTTTTTTTGTTTTATTACTAAAATATAGGTTAGAGAAGGAAAATTATTAGAAGAAGTAAGCTCTCAAGTAACAGATTTAGCATCAAAGGTAAAATATTTGTGATTTTTATTTATTTATTTTATTTTTTATATGTTCATGGTCACATGTTTATTATTTTTTATTTAATTTAATGTTCTTATGCATTGCATATAGCGCTGAAAGGAACATGATTTTATTCAGTTATTTATTTTTAAGTTGGAGGTGAAAGAATATATCAAAATTATTTAGGCTATTGTTTTTACCATATATATTTTATATTAATTTTTTGAAATTTGCACATTTTCTACATCTCAGCTACCATGCCATCCTAAAAAGAGGAATTACAAAAAAACCAACAGCTAACTACCTTTGTTCCAATTTCAACAAGTTTAAACTGCCATTTTTGGCTAAAATTACAAAAACTAAAAGACACTTCCAGTAAAGTAGGCTATGTAAATTTTTGTTATGAAAAAGAAAGTTAATTTGTTTTCAGTGTTCTTTAAAACTCATAAATACAAATTTATTTATATATATATATAAAATTCATTTTCTAGCCGTCAACTAAAGCAATCATAATTTCTCAAGATTTTATCCAAATTCAACACTTGAACAACCATTGAAAAGTATTACTGTAATACTGCTCTTCCAAGCCATATCAATTTTGGATCCCATTCCTTTTTTAAGCTAGAAACTAAAAAAAAAAATTCCCAAATATTTTTATTTTATTTTGTTGGTTCTAAATTATTTACAGATTACCATTTTTAGTGTACCATTATTTGTAGCATACAAAACCCTTAACTGATTACCTAGCGGCAGAGCTCAGCTCAGTCTGCAACTTGCCTTTCATCGGTATCCTTCTCATATTTCATGTAACATTTTTAAAAAATAGCAAAGTTGATCATGTCAGAGTTGAAAAGAAAAATCGAATATTTAAATCTGGACGTTTATACCTTATTTGTCGACTTCAAAGCAGCCTATGGCTCCGTGGACAGAAACTGTATCTGGGAGATCATGACTGAGCTGGGTGTTCTCAGGAAATTAGTGAGATTGACAAAGGTGTGTACAAATGATCCTAAATGCAGGGTACTAATACAAAGAGAAGTATCTGAAGCCTTTGAAGTTCGAATGAGTTTGAGGCAGGGAGATGGACTCTCGCTGATGCTGTTCAACTTAGCCCTACAGAAAGTAATAAGAACATCACACGAAGATAGAGGGGTGCATATCGAAACGAAACACAAAATCCTTGCATATGAGGATGATATAACTGTCCTCGCAAGTAATCAAGAGGATATTGAGAGACTCACTTGAACTCTGTTAAAAGAGCAACAGAGCAAATCGGACTACAAGTCAATGTTGATAAAATAAAATATACGATAGCCAAAAAATTCACCCTAAGAACATGATCTTCATGTACTCTTAAGTCATTCTGGCCTAACCTAAACTTTGATAAAAACGAATTTGAAAATTTAAAGTGCTAAAACTTTTTTATTGATTATAAAACTTATCAGGTTTCCTTGTTACTTTAAATGGTTGTAAATTAACTGTTGAAGTTGGTTTAATAATAAAATACCTTACCCCTGATTTAATATCGAATTTGTCAAAATGTAGTTAGAACCTTGTCATCGACAAAGTGAAAGTAAATGAAAATAACTAAGGTGATAATGAGGATATGACGTCAAACCAAAAGATATATTTGATTTGAATATCAATCAGATAAAAATGAAACTGAATAATTAAAAATTAATAACTTTTATTTTTTTCCATACTTACTTAACTAAGTAAACTTATGGATGTCTGGCTTAAAATATCCTAATTACTTATTATTAGTATATTTTGGCTTTCACCCTAGATTTTAAGGACATTAATGCATTAATCCCGATCTTGTGAACCCAAGTTCATGACACACATATGTTTTGCTAGATTCAGGGAACTAGAAAGTCTATATTTCTGTTTAAAACTCAATTTTGAAATTTGTTATGATATTTTTAACTATAAACTAATTTTTCTAAAAACTAAATGAACTTTAAGAATATTATTTCAACTGCAAAAAGAAATGCAGGACAATTGATAATAACAATTTTATGAAATATATATTTTTGATTGGTAAGATAAAAACAAATTTTAAATATCACTTAGTTTCTAGAGAAATATTCGGTTTCAATTTTATGTTAATTAAATATATAATGTCAATGAAAAGTATAAATCATGTATAATGAAAAGTATAAAAATTATTTATTTTTTTTCTCATATTAGAGTGTCGCACAAAGCTAATTATTTTGTTTTTAACCATTATTTTGATTTAGGAGCTCATTTTAGATTTTATTTTAGATGAGTGATCTAGGAAGAAGTGGATGGCAGAACATTGCAGGAAGCAATATCCCGTCACCTCAGCAGAGCCCGCAGTCACCAAGCGGTACCACTACTGAAAAATCATCACTTCTTTATGAGCCATCTGCAACGTCCATGTATGTATTGGGTTACTGTACAGTTTTCTTTACCTGTTTTTGCTAGATGAATTAGTTAATCACTATGTAAGAATTGGTGAATAAATAATCTTTTATTAATGATCATTCATTCTCTCAAACTATGGTCTTCTTGATTTGCCCCTTATTCTGTCCATCACTATGTGCGTGTGTGTGGGGGAGCACGTGTGTCATCAATTATACAAGTTGTTATGATTTTCTAGAAAATAGCTCTAAAGATTTTTATTGGATTCATTATATCGGTGTTAAATTATGAACTTTTTAATATAATAGATTTCTTATTCTCATTGATGTTCTCTGACAGGACTTAAATGCCTAATTTAAAAAAAAAAAATACCTCTAAGGTACTTTTAATTTTTTTTATTTGAATTAATTAATCATTTCACACTTTAACAAATTATGAAAAAAAGTTTAATATAAAACATGAAAGAATTTTATAATTAACTAAAGGAATAAGTAATTATAATAATAAGAAATGAGGAATCGTAATAGAGAACCGAGTAAACCCGAGCTTGAACGAAAGGTAGGTTTCCATATGTAATAAAATATGGGTTCCAATAAAAGTATAATTAATATGAAATGATATAGCCTTTATTTATGTAAACATTAATAAATAATACATTTAAATAAGTATATTCTTTAAGTGTGAAAAGAAATTAATACTTTTTTTTTTCCTTCTTCCTCCCTTGCATAGGCCTTTCCTTACAGGAGTAATAGTTAACACATCCCGGGACTAGCCCTATTGGGATGCGAGTAGCATCCAGTTCTCCTTCCAGACATTGCTGTCTCTAGCAGCTCTCCACCAAAGGGGTCCTGCCAACAGCTTCAACGCGTCGTTCCTCCTTTTCTTTTGACACCTTCTTCTTCTTTTTTTCATATCATATGGAGTCCAGTATTCTTGACCATCTATTATCTTTGCTTCGAAGGAGATACACAGCCCATTTCTTTATTCTGTATGCATGAAAATATTTCCTGATGTCTTTTCTAAAACTAAACAATCTATTCTCCTTACTTCCGCCAAACCAATAATATCCCATTTAATGTTCTCAAGAGCATGCTTGAGCTCCTCCATCCTATCTTCACTTAACAATGTCCGAATGTTTAATGAAAAAACCTTGAGAATGCCTTTATTATCACCATGAGAAAAATGATCTTCTATTAGCTATGATCATGTTGTCTTCTATTCTATGATAATGTTACTTGGAGTTTCATTTTTATTCACTTCTTTTTTATCTTCTTCATGAGTCACCAGGAATCTATCCAAACTTATACATCTCTGGTGAGTTTTATTATTTTTCCTTTAGGATGAGCTTTCATAAGTGGAAATAATTCTCTTCTGATATCTCTAACACACTTTGGCATATCCTCGTTTATTTTTATTGATTTAAATTCATCGGATTTGGTCAATTTAAATTTATTTCTCATAATATCTTTTTTTAAAATATTGAATTAAGCTTAACTATTACCGGGCCGTTTTTATTTTTGGGATTAATTTCCCTTAATTCCGTTGTCATATGATCGAAAGTTTGATATAATATATTTCAGTATTTCTGTTATTGTATTATTCATTGCAGATAGATTTTCCCTGTCTAAGTCGAATATTATTATATTTCTCTTTCGAGTTCGATTTTCCTCTTTTTCCCTAAAAGTTAGAATGTTAATTGTTAGTTCATTAAACTGCGATTTTATCTATCTAATTTTCTCTTCCTGTTTTTTTCTATTTTTGTCTAATTTTGTTTCTAGTTCTGAAATGTTTTCTATTAATATATTTAATTTTTCTTCAATTGTAGACATGATGATAGGAAATAATGTGAGGTAATATAGTAACGTAATTATTGACGAGTTTTGAATGAAGTGAGATCGTAGGTGAGGTGGGAAGATGGGCGTAGCTAGACCTGGAAGAGGCAGTATCACTTAAATCCTGCCAGAGATTATAAAGATTAAATACACCTGATTTACCTTATATTGGGAAAATATATTTTCTCATAAAAATTCATTTCCCACGTTCTGTTTCTTTCAAACTTCGTAGCTGATCACCATAGTTATTAAACTATACTCAGGTCAAAATTTGAATCAGTTGATCCACTATTAGCGATTTTTTAAACATGTAACTTGGAGATGATCTGACACGGACAAGTAGCAGACTCAAATCTTTAATAATATGCTGAATCAAAAATAAAAAATGACCGTTTTATCAAATTCAAGTTTTCAAAGGACTGTAAATATTTTAATCCTATTTAACACTTACCAATACTTAATAATTCCTTTAGAGCATTCTCTAAGCTTGTTTAATCCCATTCGACTTCTTCAAAAAAGCCTCGGTTCTGTTATTTCTTTCAGAGAAGAAACACATCCTACAAAATTCACGTAATTTTAAGGCATCACTGGAAAAAATTTAACAGCCGCTCAAGCAACTCGTGAAATTATTAAATATAAAGGGAAAGGTGTCCTTGACCAGCACATTACGTGGCATTGGTTTGAAAAATTTAGTAGTGGAGATATGACGTTAGAAAGGATAAAGGGCTCCGGGCGACCATTAATGGATATTGACGAGCAGTCAAATCCGTCCATAAGTACTCACGAACTTGCCAGGGAATGTAGTGTGACGAAAGATACTGTTAGTCGCCATCTAATCTCCATAGGGAAGGTGAAAAAGAGCAGTAGACTGGTCCCTCATGAACTTACTACTCAGCAATCAGCTAAGAGATTAAAAATTTGTAAACACTTATTGAAAAACTCTTCTGATATGAGATTTTACTGAAAGATTGTCTCCTGTGATGAAAAGTGAGTTTACTGGCGAAATCCAAATACCCGTGAGGAATGACTTGATAGCGGTCAAACTCCTTTTTTTTCCCCAAAGCTTCCTCCGAAGGTGGGAAAAGCTTTGTATTCATGCGGGAGGTTAAAACAATTTTTGTGCTCAGAATTGAAAATTTTCAGTCGTGTCTTATGTTTCAGACATCAAGGATCAAATTTGGTTCGGTTTCTTGTCTGTCAATCGATGTAACGGGCATATCACCTACTGCTGTTTATCCAATTTTCATGGATTGTGCGGGCTGGCGTCTATATTGTTCCATATCAATTTTATCAAAATCCATCTAGCACTTCTGCTTGCGCAAGCGTAAATGTATTTACTTGGATATGCCAGTATTTCAGAAACGGCTCGTTCAATTTGGCTCAAAGTTGGAAAAAAAGGTAGGTATTAATAAAAAAAAAATGTAGTGTCAATTTTATTCAAATCTGTCCTCTACTTTCTCTTATATATGCGCAATACACATATAAATTGATACACCTATAATTCTAAAACCGCACGTTCGGTTTGGCTGCAATTTGGAGTGAAGTTAGGGATTGGTAAACAGATAATCAAGAATGTATCAATTTTATCAAATTCTATCCACTATTTCCAAAAAAATTCTTCCGCTTTCAGATCAGAAAATGTATTATTTGACACTCCTATAGTTTGAAAATGGTTCATTCGATTTGACCCAAACTTGGAGAAAATTTGCAGAATAGTATAGAAATTACCTAATATTAATTTCATTTAGTTCCAGTTAATAATTAAAATTAATATTAATAATTGCTAACAATATAATGGCTGTGAAATGTGGAAGGCATTTATCATTTGGAGTGGGAGTTAGGTTAATACAATATTTTTATGAGGTTATAAAATTGTAGGTTTTATAAAGTTAACGTTACTACCATGAAACTTACTACCGTTATTTAGATTTCGTGTGATTTTCCATTAATTTAAATTAATTGTTACTCTGAGTTCGTATAAAAAGAGCCCTATTTGTGAATTTGTTTATTTATATTAAAGTTCAATCAGCTCGTCAATTGATTTTCTCTTTAAATGTCAAAGATGTGAACTTAACGCATATTTTTATATTCCAGCATAATTAGTTTTGTTCTGACTGAAGAAAAGTATTGGTCTCGTTAACTCCAAACAAACAAAAGTTTATAATGATGTAGAGATGGTTGACCGTTGATATAATATGAGAAGGAGTTAGTCGAGGGTGCGGTCAAATAAATAAAAAATTAAAATATATTAATTATTGTAATTTTTGTCGACGTTTCGACCCACTTTGCAGGTCGTCTTCAGGGCTACAAAAGATACAAAACATGTTGAAAATAAAAAATAAATATAAGTATATATAAAATAAGAAGAAGTTGTCAGATACAGAAATAAAAGATGGTATCAGAGATATAGTGGGGGACAATGTAGTTAAATATTAAGAATTATATATGTAGAAGATACAAATAAATGGAAAATAAGTAGGAATAAAAATAAAAATAAAGGAGAATATAGCATGTAAGTTAAAAGTAAACAGATTGCGATAAAAGATAAGGAATAAGTGTATAACAAAATAATAGAGATTACATTAGATAACTGTGGGTTAACAGATAAAGAAAATAAATACATGAATGTTAACGAATAAATGAATGTTAACGAATAAATAGATTGAAAATTAATAAACCCATTAAACAATGTCAGGAAAGGTTGAGGCTGAAAGCCAAAACATGAAATGATGTAAAACCTAAATCTTTCATAGGTCTATACTTCATGTATATAACTAAGGAACATTTTATACACAAGCTGATTTTAAAAAATATAAAACCTCTTTCTACGATATACTGAATTTTCAAAGGAAGCATGAATTAATTTGAATTAAATGCTAATATTTTTAATGAAGAAGAAGGTAAAGAGTTGCTCCTGGCGGAATACACAACAGGATGAAGATAACTTACACTTTCTTGCTTAATATCTCATTCTGACAGAATTCTGAAAAATTAATCAGACAATACAATGAAAAAGTAGATACATATAATGTAAGTAGATAGCAATGGAAATGGCTAGGAATAACTGGTCAGCTAATTTAAATTGGTTTGGAGATTAAGACAATTTAGGAATTATAATAACCAAATGTGAATAATTGAGATGTATAGGTAAAAATATATTTAAAGCATCTGTTATAAATCTTGCAGGCTCAAGTTGACACATAATTTAAGTAATGTTTGAAAAAGATAACTTCTTAACTAAATACATCTTGGAGCATTGCATTTTGTATATTATTACGTGAATGCTGCTAAGAAATTTGTCTTTCATACAGATATGATGATTCGCATAATTGATTATGTAGAAAATGTGCGGTTCCAAGGGGAAACTTCAAGGGAACAGTCGTTAAGAACTTGTAATGCTGCTGACAAGTTCAGATTTGAAGGAATGTCAGTAGTATTTTGTTTTTTGATTATTATTCAATCGCTAGAGCTCTCCTACATGATCCTGAAACATTTTTATTAGAATCTGGAATGGGAGTATGTACCTCAGTAGACTGAAAATGTGTTTGATTAATAGAAGAAGATTTAAGTAACATATAATTTAAAAAGATAACCCTTAGCCAGCATTAAAACCCTTATAAAATTGTAAATTGTTTAATTCTTCCTTAATTGTATTAATAAATGGACATAGGTAATGTACAAATACAGATAAAGTGTCACAATTAAAACAAAACTTAAGTTAATCGACTTCTTTAATTTAGAATAAGAAAACCGAAAAGCATTAATAATGATAAATATCGAAGAATATGTGTCTATAAAATAAAATCTAAAATATATAGTTTGCTTAATCGATATACTGAAGATACAAAATATCGAAAAGTTAAAAAAAAAATTCTGCTAATATATATTGCAAAGGTTATATTTGGTAATTATTTGTAATGAACCTAAGGTGGAGGGGACAAGAGGTGACAAGACAACCCCTCCACAATAGTGGCACTTCCTGGTGGTGTTTTGTAAACCTTATCAGAAAAATTGTGTATAACCTCAATTCAACCAAGATGGCCGGAGGAGTACTAGTTGTAAATAATTACCTATATCACTACTGTTAAAGATCATATGTAAAAGTTTTAAATTTGTATTCTATTTTTGGCATTATGTAGTATGCAATTGATATAAGTAGTCAACTACTATGGAAAATAGCACCTTCTGGAATGACTGCCCCTTGACATGACCCTTTAAAAATGAATAACTCTAATGTGGTTCCTTAACATACATAAATTATTCTTTTTATTTAAGTTATTTGAACAAATGTTTGATTAATAGTTATAAAAATTATTTCTCCAATCCTTAATTCACATTTATTTCCCATTGTGTGGAAAACTCCTTAACTGTTATGATTTCAGGTCACCAACTTCACATGAACCTCTAAAAACCTGGGACTCATGGAAAGATAATTCTAATTTTAACAAAACCAAAACTAATTCCAAGAATGACTGGGAAAACAAGTGGGAAGATGAAGCTTGGGAATCTCTTAATAAAACTTAATTTATGATATGAATGAAACATACCAAAAATTACTGCAATACACTCATGATTACTGAATCAACATGGAATCAGTAATAAAATATTTTAAGTTTTAAGTGGGAACACTCCTGTTTCTTACTATTGCCCATTATTTGTTGTCAAATGTAAATGTCATAATGATTTGCCAGCAAGTGATAAGTAACCAGTTTTTAATTAAAGTCCCTAGTTAACACCTTAATGTTTGTATCCTTTTACCGATTATTTATTATGATTTTAATTATCATTCCATTGTTGTTCATTAAAAGTTTATAGAATTTTAGACATCCCTCAATTTTGAGTGCTGTAATAATTATTGTATAATAATAAATTTCTTTGTGATATATTTATATTTATACTATATTACTTTAAAGTAATTAAATATTTTGTTATGTACCATTATTTATTTTCATAGAATTGAAATTCTGTCTAATGTCAATGGATATTTGACCAAGATCACGTATATCCTTTTTTCCCATTTACTGTGTGTGAAATATGCTATTTATTAAATGTGATCTAGTTATTATGTTACTGTAGTATTCTACAAGGAATAAGTTTTTAATAAATTCTTTTATTTCACAAAGTTAATTGTTTGAAACATCATTTATTTTTATAAATATACATATTTAATAATGGTTTTCTTGCCAAAACTTATGTACTTTATTTGTTTACAGTGACCAAGATTGAATATCACATTTTATCTTTCTGGACATATTAAAAATTTTGTTGTATTAATAATGTAACATTTTTCTGTGTGTGGGAAGAATTGTAACAATTTCTATGAAATTGTTGTTCTATGGAATCATGATTGTAAGAATTAAACCTAATGTTTCTTGAACTAATAATGTAATGTAAAGTTCTATATATGAATGCGCTGAGGTCATGGCAGATCTTGAACATAAATGTATTGATGGTGAGACATTTCTGAATTATTTTTGTAATTTCAATAATAATTTTCGATTTTTCTGAGTATATTGCTATTTTCATTTATATGTTATTCATATCTTGGATGCAATGTAAATATATTTGATTTTTATGGTCAGTAATTAAATAAATGTTATGTTTTATTAAAAAATTAAATCAAATTTACTAATACTTTTTTCTTCTAAACAAAATTCTGGAGTTTATGTCTGCTCGATGGACACAAGTAGTTATTAGTTTCTATTAATAACCTTTGTTGACAAAACATTATAGTGGAGTTCAGTGTAATGAAAAATGTAGTTTAACTGATTTGTCCTAATCAAAACAATTATTCATTTACATTTTTTTTTTACTTATTTTGTACAAAGAACGTATAAGACGGATCAATTGTAAATAATTATGTAATTATAAAACTGTAACTTAATTCAGAAACATACTGCTAAATATCCATTGATTCTTATAATTCTGTTAAACTGTATGTACTTTCTAGAAATGAATCATATTATTATCTGCTTTAAAAACTAAAATATAGATAGATAGATAGATAGAAAAAAAAACTTTATTCTGGGACTAAGTCCCTTCAGAATAACAGTAATGTACAAAATAATAGAATATTACTGGCCTGAACGCTGAAACAATAAATAAAATTGATAAAATAAAATAAAAAGTAAAGAAAACCTTAGGTGCACAAGCTATATACAAACAGATAAAACTATGTACAGAGCATTTAAAATTATGAACAAAACAATTAAAACTATGAACGAATCACTTGAACTATGAACAAAATTATATTTAAGGGTTGAACAACATAAACATACACTTTGAGAAATGAAGAACGAAAAAGAGATACAATGAGTTCATTTCATAAAAAAAAAAAATTTTACTTGAATATATATATAACAATAAACAGTTACTTATAATTGAATAAAAAAAAAAATAAAAAAAATATATGTATTGAAATTCCTACGTCGATAGTAGGAAATGCATGTACTATCTCTTACCAAGTGTTATGATTATATGATTGCTACACAATACATATATAATATCAATAGTTAGCTGGTATCAGACTGTTTTTGGAACAGGAATTGGAATAGGAGGTTTTTGAATGTATACAGGGAAGGGGCATGTCGAATTTTGATCGGGAGGGAATTCCAAAAGTTGACAGAGCGGGCTATAAAGGAATTTTGGAATGAGGCAGATCTATGAGAAGGGATGTATAGGTCAGAGGGTCGGGATCTTGTAGTGAGTGAATGGATTGAGGACTTAAATTGGAGAAGGTTGTAGGCATAAGAAGGACGATGGTCGGTAATGATTTGATAAAGGAAAGTGCCAAGGAAATATTGTCTTCTTAAGGAGGGGAAGAGCCACCCTAACTCAGTGTAGTGGTGAGAGACACGGGAGCGTCTCGGGGTTCCAATTACAAATCTTACGAAACAATTCATAAGTCTTTTGAGTCTATCACGCAGTTCCACCGAGAGGCCATCGTACACCACACAGCTGTAGTCAAAGTGGGGAAAGATGAGAGAGGAAACTATGAGTCTACGGGTATTTTGGGGTAGAAGATGGCGGAAGTGATGGAATAGTTTGAGGGTAGAAATTGCACGGCGGGATATATGAGAGATATGGTGATTCCAGGAAAGAGTTTGATCTATGAGAAAGCCTAAATTTTTAACAAAGGGATAGAAGGTGATGGGGTGGTTGTTTAGATAGAGTGAGGGAAAGTTGGTGTGGGATCTAAGAAGGGGCTTGGAACCAATGAGAATGGCCTGAGTTTTGGCAGCATTTAGCCTTAATCCATTTAAGTTGGCCCAGGCACTAATTCGATCTAAATCTTCTTGAATTTTGGCAAATGCCACCAATAACTCAGCGGGAGAAAAGGATAAATAGATTTGAGAATCGTCGGCATAAAGGTGGTGGGAACAATGGATAATTGAATCATTTAGGTCATTAATATAAGAACTGAAAAGAAGAGGAGACATGCTTGAACCCTGTGCAACTCCTGAGGATAAAGGAAGGTAGGCAGATAGAGGTTGATTAGGTATGGAAACTGCTTGGGTTCGTTGTGAGAGGAAAGACTGGAACCAAGAGATGGAACTATTGGAGAAGGATAATGATTTTAGTTTGTTGAAAAGGATGGAATGGATAATGGAATCGAAAGCTTTAGAGAAATCAAGCAGTATAAGTATGGTTAGTTTTTTGTCATCTATTGCAGTCTGGATATCACTAGTAATTTTAATCAGAGCAGATTGTGTAGAGTAGCCAGGACGGAAGCCAGATTGGAGAGGATCAAGTTGGTTGGATTGTTCAAGGTAGTTGGAAACTTGGGATTGCACTAACTTTTCTAGGGGTTTAGAAAGATTGGAAAGGATTGATATTGGGCGGAAATCTTCGGGAGAGGATGGATTAGGCTTTTTGTTTAAAGGAAGGACAATGGCTTTTTTCCAAGAGGTCGGGAATATTGAATTCTGCAGGGAGAAATTGTAGATGAAAAGGAGTGCTGGGAGGATTTCAGGGAGACATAATTTTATTAGTTTGATAGGAATGCCATCTGGGCCTACGGAATTGGAACGGGATTTCATTATAACGGTAATAAGGTCTGTGGGAGAAATGTCGGAAAAATAAAAATTATTGTCGTTAAAAGGTACCTCTGGAGGAAAGCCGGAAGGGGATGGTAAAGAAGAGGTGGAAACCGATATAAAGTGGGAGTTTAGGTCATCAGGTGATATTGGGAAAACTGAGGAAGGGGATATAGAAGGTTCACAGAGGGAAAGCTTACGAAGTAGAAGCCATTTTGATTTGATATCAGGAGCTGAGGAAAGGGCTTCGTGAAAGCAGTTCGCTTTCGCTTGTCGGATCCTTGTCTGTGTCGTGTTACGAAGCACTCTGAATATTTGATAATCATCTGCAAGCCTAGTCCGTCTGAAGCGTCTGCGTGCAGCGTCGCGTCTCTTCTGCAGATCCTTAATTTCCTGACACATCCAAGGAGCAGGACGATGACGGAAAGTGGAGGTTTTCAGAGGAGCGTGGGTATTGAGTATATTGAGAAGATTGGTGGTGAGAATATCAACCATGGTGTCGACAGAGGAGCAATGATATATTCCATTCAAATCCAATGTTACTAGATCAGGTAATATTTTTTCTCGAGTAAGGGTATCCAGTTGGCGGAAAGTGATAGTTCGAGGATGGATTGGAGGAGTGCGGATATTATACGTTATTTGTATCAGATCATGAGATGAAAGAAAGGATACTGGCAATTGAGAGGCGGAGAGGAGGTTTTGTGCTGAGTCGAGGATGTAGTAGTCTAGCCAAGTGTCAGATCTGGTGGTGTGGTGGGTGGAGGAAAAAGGAACGATGAATAGGTGAAGTGAGAAAAACAGATTTTCTAAATAGGATTTGTCATTGGAGTTTGCGAGGAAATTGGTATTGAGGTCACCGGAGATAATTATTCTGGGATAGAGGGGAACGAAGTTGAATAGAGTTGATTCGAAGGACGGGTCAAATGGCACGAGAGGAGGGCGATATACCACGGCGTAAAGGATAGGAGAAATATTACTGAGAATTTCTACTAAGAGGTATTCTACATGAGGATGATCGGAAGATGGGGAGCAATCGAGGATTCGGGTCTTTAGGCTATTGTGGACAAACATGGCTACTCCACCGCCAGTCCGCTTTACCCGGTCATGACGGAGCAGGATGTAATTAGGCAAGGAGACTGAAGATGAAGGAATATAAGGTTTGAGCCAGGTTTCGGATATTGCTATGATATGATAAAAGTTTTGGGTAAAGTATTGCAGGAATTCGTCATAATGGGCAGAAAGTGATTGAGAGTTAACTTGACATGTGATTAGGGAACTAGACATAAAGTGGATTTGGAGAGAAACAGTCAGTGTTTGGTAGCGAGAAGACAGAACGAGTAGAAAGTACAGAAAAGCGATTATCGTACATGAAACTAAGTGAAGAAAAAGTAATATTAACATTAAAAATAAATAAAGAGAATGTACTTAGATTTAAATCAATAGATTGATGAGTGACGATGTAGAGATAGCACTAAGAGAAGTAAGACTATTTTAATGCGGCTAAGGGGTTGACGGCTTCTAGGTAGTCATTCAAATACATCTAGATCCGAGGCCTGATCTATCAGGATGACTCTATGTCCGTCCTCTTTTCGACACCGCACCTTTCCGGAAGCAAACCACGTATATTTGATTTTTCCCGCCGCTCTCTTCTGCCGGGCTAGCCAATAGAGGTGTCTGTTTGTGCGAGTCATCTCTTCACCCAGATAAATTCGGTGGCAGTCATTTTCCTGCCAACCGATATCCCGCGTGGAGAAATCCCTCTTCACTTTCCTTTTCGTAATTAGATCATCTCTAATTGATTGCCTGACAAAGCGTGCGATAACAGGCGGTGGTCGCGAGTCATCTTTTCGGCTTCTGCGGCGATGTACGTTGTCCAGGTCCTCCACACTAAGCTTGATCCCCAAGCTTGCTCCTATACTGGTCACCAAAGCAGCGGGCGTTTCGCCCGGTCGCTCCGGTATACCGCGGATCTCCAGTGATCTACTCAATAGTCCTTGCTCTGCGTTATTCAAGCGAACCTCTAATTCGCCCACTCGGGATTTGAGTGCTTTGTTTTCTAATAGTATTTCCTCAAACTTTTTAGCTTGACCTTCCAGATGTTTTTCAATCTTCGTCAGTCTTTCGTTTAGTTCAAAACTGAGCTCTCCGTATTTATCTAGTGCTGTTTTCATGTTTTTTATATCTTCGTTCACGGTAGCGTCTAAACGATTTACTGCCGCAAGTATTTCTGAGGAGGACGGCTCGGTATTTTGTTTTTTCACCTGTTCGCAGTTAGAGCAAACCCATGTTTTTTTAATTATTTTTAATGCTTCGGTGTCTTTATCATTAAGGTTGACGCACCTACCATGAAAAATTATTTTACACTTAACGCAGTGTATATTGTTCTTATCTTCGCGTGCGATAGAGTTGTTGCAAATATTACACTGCACCATTTTTTAAATTTATTAATGAGAATTACTTCGCAATTAAAATATAAATAAATACCAGGACTGTTGACGGTAGTAAACAACGTCTAATGCTGGTCTAATGCTGTTAGGATTAGTAGACGCCTGCCAGCTCGTTGCTCCCAGAACTCTATCAATCTCGCTGCGTTTTCTTTACTCCGATTATTGTGAAGATCCGACACTTAATAATAGTGTTTTTTTAAGAAAGAGAAGAAAAAAAAAAACTGAACTTAACTGAACTGAAAATTAAATTAAAGTAAACTGAGTCTATTATATGAACGAATTACACCGATGTACACACCAGGGCGTCTCAGGCCAGACTGTATATACTTTTTTATTTGAATTACAAGTAATGAATAGTTACCAGATCATTTAGCTAAACTCATATATTAATAATAACAATTATTTAAAAAAATCATATCCCTCCTGAGCAAAGCGATGAATTCTTTCCTCCACTGTTGTTTCATAGGTCACTCACGATATTTTTCCTTGATTTATCCTGAGGTAGTGACTAAAACATCTCAATTTTATCCCTTCCCGGCTTTTTATTCTATATAGGGTTTTCCTAGGCCAGAGGGTGAGGGGGGGAGATTAATACCAGAGTTAAAAGCCCTCTGGCATCTGGATGCGAACTCATAATTATTTTCCTATAGGCCTAAATTTGCAAAATAGGATTCATAGGAAATTCTTTATTTTATCTTTTTATTTGTTGAGTAATATAACATTCTGTCATATTGGTTATAATGAGATAGGATTAAAATCATTCCATATTTACAGAAAATATAAATAAATAAAATAAAACAGAAGCATAGTAACAACTATGTGATAATCAAAAAGTATATACAATAAATAAAAATAAAATATATTAAATGATAAGTATAAAGTAAAATAATACTGATACACCTATTTACAATCAGACAAGGGAACTCTGAACTCCCTTGTACTGTTGAAAAGCAGGACTTCAGCCACACGGTGGGCTAAACCCCCCCTATCGTGCACCCTCCCCCTCCCCACATCCCTATAAATTGCATATTGTTGTGTTCCTTGTAACTATTTGTTAAAAAAAAGCCAATGCCCCAAAATGCCGTCCATAGATGAAGGATTGACGACTTTGACTTTAGAATAGAATAGAAAATAATTTTATTCTGGGACGAAGTCCCTTTAGAATAACAAAAAGTACAAAATTAAAATGTTATATCTGGCCAAATAAAAACAAAGATAAAAAGTTAAGGTAAAGAAAATATTAGTTATACATACTATATACAAAATAAAATAATAAAAAAATCTATATACAAAATTCTTGAAACCTTGCCTAGACACTTAAAACTATGTTCAATGGTAAAATATAAACATACACTTTTAGAAAAAATAAAAAATACTCTACAAAAAAAAAAAAAGAAAGTCGAATCTGATAATAAGTATTTATGTGATGAGCTATATGTAAATACTTTATTATGAATAATATGTAATTTTACATAAAAGGTTAGCGGGTATCTGAATGTTTTTGGGACAGGAGTTGGAATAGGAGGGTTTTGAATGTAGACAGGGATGAAGAATGCCAAATTTTTATAGGAAGGGAATTCTAAAAATTAACAGAGCGAGCAATAAAGCAGTTTTGGAACGAGGCAGATCAGTGAGAAGGGATGTAAAAGTCGGAAGGTCGAGATCTTCTGGAAAGGGAGTGGACTGAGGACTTGAATTGGAGAAGCTTGTTGGCATAAGAAGGAGGATGATTGTTGATGATATGATAGAGGAACGTACCTAGGAAATATTGTCTTCGAATAGAGGGGAAGAGCCACTTTAACTCAGTGTAGTGGTGAGATACATTGGAGTATCTCAGGGCACCAATTACAAATCTCACGCAACTGTTCATTAGTCTTTTCAGTCTTTCACGGAGCTCCACCGAGAGTCCATCATACACCACACAGCTGTAGTCAAAGTGGGGGAAGATGAGATAGGAAACCAGAAATCTACGCGTATATTGAGGTAGGAGATGGCAGAAGCGATGGAATAGTTCGAGGGTAGAAATTGTCCATCAGGAGATGTGAGAAACATGGTGATTCCAGGAGAGAGTTTGATCAATGAATAGTCCTAAATTTTTGACAGAGGAGTAGAAGGAGATAAGCTGGTCACCAAGGTTTAGTATGGGAAAGTCAGTATAGGATCTAAGGAGGGGCTTGGAACCAATGACAATGGCCTGAGTTTTAGCAGCATTTAACCTTAATCCTTTTAAGTTTGCCCAGGCACAGATTCGATCTAGGAGTTTCACTTAGAACTCTAAGTGAAACTCCTACTTGAACACACCTCCCTGAAGAAGACCTGCAAAGTCTGGTCGAGACGTCAGCTTTCAGTAAAATAGTTTTACCACTAATTAGCCCATTTATGACCGCCACCCTGGATCATCTTCTTTTATAATGCAACAATCAACTATGAAATATTCGATCGATATATTTGAGAATCGTCTGCATAAAGGTGATGGGAACAATGAATAATTGAGTCATGGAGGTCTATAATATGGGAACTAAAAAGGAGAGGAAATACTCTAGATCCTTG